TTTGGGCCTTAAAACAGACGCAGAGACAGCAGTTTTTATTGAACAGGTAATTTTTGCCTTTTATCGTAGCACATGTAACATAAATAACTCTTATTAGTCTCTGCAATGTCAACATGGTAGCTGCAGACGGTGCTTGCTAGCAGAGCTGGAGTGTACAGCCGCTAGTCACTAGCAATCCGACATGATGAATCCTATTTGAAGCTAGCGTAGAATCTTCTGCCGGCCAGCTACTTGCTTTGCCAGAGGGGGTGTGTCGTGGGAGGGCGATACAGGTCCGGGGGGGTATTGTGGAGCACAGAGGGGAGAGGTTTGTGATGCATTCTTCAAATCTGCCTCAACGGCTCAGTTTTTTTCAACTGCTTCTCAGATCATCAACCATGCCTTTAAAGGTAAATTTTGCGAATCCGACACATTTGTTGCATGTAGCAGATTTGACCCTGTCTGCAAAAAACTGTAGCATACATGGTGTTTTGTATCAATGTGTTGTTTCCAATCAAGGGGCATCCATTGTGGCATGTAACTCATACAACCCCACTTCAAAAATACTGAAATAGCCCTTTAATGTAGCAAGTTCATGGTTAATTGCAGAGTCCATTTGCAGTGAAAAAAGAGGACTTTGATTCAGGTCAGCGGATGTAGGGTTTGGGGACTCATTGTCCTCCAAAAATGAATTATTTTATCTTGTGTAGAGTGCAGTGACATTGACCAATGACAGCACAGAGCATTCACAAAAGTCACAAGCATAGACAAACCATTGAGTGAAGCAGAAGAAGAATGATGAAGTTGGTGCTGAGAGAGGGAACAAGGAGACGGAGAAAGAGTTTGTCGAGCTCTGGCAGCAACATCCCGCACCTTTATGATGTGACGTTGAGAGATTACTATGACTGACTGAAAAAGAGGAATGCTGGCAAGAAATAGCAGATGCATTTTAGGGGCCCCGGTGAGAAACTGCCGTCAGCGTCAGCTTAAGCTAGCTCATCATACATCATAATGTTTGGATCAACAAACAAATACAGTATAAACACTCAGTTGGCAGTTTGTATGGTACACTGAGCCAAAACAAATGCTGCAGTCTTCTCTCTGAGTGTCATCTAGCACAGCCCCTCTCCCTCTGAACGTCATGGCCAACATCATGACGGTTGTGTACCACTATGAGGTCCATCATGTCTGTCAGTCAAATCACAGCAATTTAAAGCTCTGTGTTCGCCTTATCTGACACAGTGACTATTATAACAGACACAAAGATTGCACAGTCTGGTCTTTACAATCCAATATCAAGAAACGGATAAGTGCCCAAAATAAGCTGAGAAATGTTTGGTGAAGCTCAGCCTGATGGACAACTGAAAAAGCTCAGAAGGAATGGTGACTTTTACTCTGTATTGATGCACCATCTTGCACCACAGATGTCTCTGAAGGGAGTCGTGTGTGGGAGGAGTCGTGAGCAGGTCACTTCCTCTGGAATCACCAGGACAGCTGCACTTTGCCAAAAGATGTTTATGATATCAGGAGGCAGGTACTTGTTTGTCCAAAGAGCTGAATTCAAATACACTTTGAACCTCCAATGAAAGTTAATCATCACTTTTAGCTGCTTCAGGAAAGTAACAAACTGACCCTAACCCTAATAGACCTAATAGACCATATTTCTACCCTGGTTTTAGCCTTGTGAAGTCGAGCTCATCTGGAAAACTACATCAGTCTATTTTTATATCATGTTAACTCTGTTCCAAGACAGTGTTTATTGATGTTGCATTTCAAAGAGCAACCATTTCAACCCCCTACTATGAAAGCCTTTCAGCTAAAAGTCTCCAGAAGGCAGGACGTCACTAAAAGAGGAAGGGTATGTGGTTTATTTAATACCAAACATGAAATACATGAGTACTATAGACATAAAATCAAAACTGCCACAATGTGCCATGCATAGCTTTATTGTAGAGGCCAGTTCTTTGTGGTAGCCATGACCTTTATAGTATTTGTGTATTGTGTGGTTATTTATGGGGATGAGAGTCACGTGGTGGTAGTGTGGTGGTATGTCAGCACTGGTAGTAGTGAAATCAGCAGTCCACCTGGCCGGTTTTGTGAATCAATGGAGAGGGGGTGAATGGGGAAGTCCTACGGAGATACAGCCTATTCATTGAAGCTCTTACAGCCAGCACATCGGATAAGGTATCATTTTACCCCACTCAGCCTCTCGGCTACTAAGTTGTTTGGGATAGTCGCCATACATTTATGGTAAGTGAAAGATTGGCCCCCAAATCTCAAATGTGGATATTACTTTGTTATTGCTAATCTAACACAGAGTCAGGTTCATTCAGCTTCATAATCTCCAAGATTGAGCTTTTGCAACGTCTGTACAGGCTTTCTTGGTGATGTATCTCATTGTTTCAAACAGATTTCAAAGCTGATTCCCGTTTTTGAAATCTGGACTCTGAACACACAGCTGTGCTCCTTTTTTCTGTAAACACTGTGATAAAACACAAAAATACAACAAAGCCAAGTCACCAGAAATTAGTTCTTCAAGGGGATTTTTCGAACACCTCTCCCTGGAGACCACCGCGATCTCCGGGCCCAGTGGTGTTTCTATCAAAGAGACTTTTGTTTGTATTTCTGCTTTATGAAACAGTTAACAGATACAACAGAGACAATAGATGATAAGCTACAAGCATCAGAGGTTTTAAGGAGATCAGAGCCACCAGGACAGCAGCGAGTTCGACTTTAAGAGAAGCATACTGGACATCTCAGAGCATCTTCAAGAGTGAACATAGTGCTCACATCCTGCTGCATCTATGGACTGATAAAGGAGGCAAAGACTGAGATGTTACTGTTGGAATGGGTCCACAACTCAACATCAGGTTTTACTATCTTGTTGGGACAATGCTTCAGTACAAGCAGACACAACCACCAAGAAGCAGGTAATGAAGAAGGCCAGAAGGGGAGAAGGGCGAAGGAGAAAGGAAGGTAAGGCAGATGGACGAGTGAGGAAGGGTAAAAGGAAGGATGGAAGAAAGGATAAGCAGTTAAAGAAGGAAGAAAGAAAGAAAGAAAGAAAGAAAGAAAGGAAAAGAGAGAAGTTGGAAGTAGAGGCAGCCACTTCAATAGGCAGACCAGGCGATTGCCTCAGGTGACATGAAGGAGAGGGGGCGCTGGCGAGCGACCACCAAACATTTTCTGTTGTAATATTATTTTCCTTCTAAGTTCCAACTCATAAATATAATATGTACATATAATTCATTTAAAAGGCGCCATTAAATTTGCAAGTTCAAACAATTACATACGAACTCCCCTGCAGCTACACTGTCTTTTGGTTTAGTCCAAATGTGTGCGAGACATTGAGCCATATAGTCAAGCCCCTTGCATGGCGAATGCGTCGCACACCACAACCACGGCCAGGGGGCTCTAGGAAAAATCCTGTCTGGGGCACCAAATTGCTAAGGGCCGCCACTGGTGGGAAGGAAAAGAAAGAGAGGGGGAAGAAGGAAAAGCAGAGAATGAAGGAAAGGGAAGGGAGTTAAGGGAAGTAAAGGAAGCAAGGAAAGGAAGGAAAGAAAAGAAAGGAAGAAGGATAGAAAGGGAGGAAGGGAAGGAAGGAAGGAAGAAGGAGAGCCAGAAATGAAAAGGAGAGAAGGTAGGAAAAGCAAGGAAACAAAGAAAAGCCAACAAAACAGCAAGAATATAGAACAGAGGGAAGACGGTAAAAACCTGAACCCAAGAATGAAAAAAACCTTGGGCTTTACCATCTTTAAAGTCCTCCCATTAAAGCTTCAGAAACACAAGCTGTAAGTTAAATTACAACTGTAGTGAATGTCAAAGCTAAAGTATGCTTACCAGGGGAGCTAAGTGGAAGCTAATGGCTACCCCCAGACACTAAAGGCATAACTTCCAGGTTGTTTGGTGAAAATCCATATGATAAGACAACAAAGTGTTTTAGGCAGTGGCTGGAATCAATACAGGGAGTGATTTCACAAAGGAAAGTAAAAGATTAACAGTTTTAGACCTGCAGCCAGGTCTTCTCTCTAAAGGTGTGACACAATGAGAGGTGACTTTAATAGGTCTCCTTTAAACCATTTTTATGTCTCAAATACATAAAAGACAATCCTGTTTTTCTAATACAAGCCAACACAATTAAAAAAGATGCTAACTGTATATTAAGGGTCTTTACAAATTAGTAAAATATCAACATAATAACCAACAATTCGAAAAGACTGAAGCAGAAACCAGGTTATGTTTGACCCTCAATATTGAACACTGATCCATGAAATGCTCAATCCACCATCAAAATAACAAACATTTTCTTTTCCCCTCTTCGCACAATCTTCCACCGTCCTTTAGGGTCAGTGGATGCTCATAATATCAAGAACAAATCGTGTCCTTGATAGTAAGGAGCAACTGAGCCTTGAAAATGTACACAGTCAGACTTTGATGGGTTCATACAGTAATGTCAGGTCCCATCCAGCCCTGTGGTCTTATTTGTAGACCTCCCTCGCTGCCACTGAGAGGTCAGCGCTGCAGTTACATCACAGGCTGGCTCTCGACCTGATAAAACCGCCGGGAGTAAAATGGTGCGGTCGACGAGGACTGTCTGTGTCTGTCTGTGTGCGTACACACTACGTCATGTGACCGCAGATAAAAAAAGCTTTACAGTTTTAGAAAGTAGCCTGTAGCCATGTTACATATCAGCTGCTGTTCGAGACATTTACCTGAACGTATCAGCATGCAAGTTTCTGCTTCAGTCCTCCACCTCTGAGCGTAAAACTCAATGAATGTTACTGTTAGGAAAAGTTCAACTGTCACAACTACTCTGAATTCACTCGTTTGGGAGAGCGGCACAACAGGGAACAAAGAGAGTATAGAATAGTCCCATGAATTGTCCTCGCTGTCACGTCTGATGGACATTAATGAGCACGTCGGAATGGAAACAAAACGGTCTCCATTCTGATCGACGCTGCACCAACATCAACGACAACCCAGGCGTCCCTGAGCGAGGCTAACGCCCTCTGATGCATCTCAATTGAGTCACTGATGCAGCCCGAACCCATCTCCAAATGAGCGTCTGGCGGGGCCCTCATGTCGAGGCGGATAGAATGACTGCGCTGAGTCGTGTGGACAAATGTTGAGGGCGTCGAGCTGCAAACAGAATGAGAATGACCGAGACAGACAGACAAGGGGAGATACAGACAGAGAGATGAAGATGTAAAGAGGCATCGCGCTGGCTTCTGCAGCTCCCACACACTTACAGTCTCCACGTTGTCATTTTTTGTTTGTTTGTTTGTTTTTGCCGAGATGAATCACCATGTGACCTACATCGAAGGAGCCAGGCTGAAAGGAAACCAAACACGTATCATAGGTTACACTTGTTTCAAATCAGAGTTATTTAATAGACCTCCATCACGGAGAAAAGGGGAAAATGTATAAACATGGTTTGTCCTAAAAACCTGTTTCCTTTACACATCTACTCACACTGACTTCACTCAAACTTTAAGGTTAGGGGGTACGAGGAAAACAAATCTGCAGAAAATCAGTATGTACAGATTGAGACATTTACATCTAAACCAGGAGGCGGGAGAAAGTATTGATTCTGCCATATCTCCACATCCTAACCTATGTGATACAATTAGAGATATGCCAGGACCAAATATCAATATCTTTATCAAATAAATAAGGAGCTGCAGATTGATTTCCCTCCAATTTGACTCAACTTCATGACTCCCCAAGATGGAGCTAGTGATGTAAATGAAGAGAAAAGGGACAGAAGTTAACAGGTGAGAGGCACTAACAGCTTTAAAAAGTGAGGGAGGGAAACACGGTGAAAGATGAAAGACGAAATACAGAAGAGGAAGGAAGACAGAAAGGACAGGCAAATGAGGAGGAGAGGAATAAAGTAAGATAGGAAGAAAGAAGGGAGAAAGAAAGGAAAGAAATGAGAAAAAAGAGGAAATTAATTGGAACAAAAGGGAAAAAAGGAGGGAGGATTAAGGGAAGAGGATAGACAGAAAGAAAGGAGGTCGTTAAAAAGGAAGGGAGCATGAAATGAAGTAGGGAAAAGCAAGAATTAAAGACAGCAAAAAAGGAAAGAAGAAAGGGAGGAAGAAAAAAGAAAGACAGACAAAACTAAATATTAAAAATGTAGGAAGAATGGTAGAAAGAAAAGAAAAGCAAAGAAGGAAGGAAGAAGAAAGAAAGCGAGAAAAACAAAATAGGTGGAAAGAAGGAAGGAAGGAAGGTATAATAGGATGTAAGGAAAAGATAGGGAGAAGGGAATCAAGAAAGAAAGAAAGAAATTATACTGCATCTCTAGTTTGGAAGATCAATGTGGACCAAATATTACATATTGTGTCGAATCATATTGAATTGTATCGTATTGAACGGAACAATTCCTACCCCTAGCATCTGTCATCTCTGGGATTCAAAACATTTCCAAGGAAACCATCAAGAGATGTCATTGACACTTTAGATTATTGTCGTTGGTGTTAAGCCTCATATGCAGATGACAAATCCTGCCTATGTTGACGTCTTCAGATTGTTCTTGTGCAGTCTGCTCCTGTATAAGTGTGTGAGTAGTAAGTGTGTTTTTGGCTGTTCGGAGCACTTCTCAGCAAGTTTGAAGGCTGCTCGAGAAGTAAACATGAAATTTGATCCATCCTCTGAGTGTATTCTTCAGCTGGCAACTACTTTTAATTTGAAAAGGGAAACATTTCCATGTCTTTCTCTTTTTTTTCCACACATCTTTTGCAAAGTCTCTCACAGGAAAAAAAAAAACCTGTGATAACATTTGTATTTGATTAAAGGCCAAAATGATATTCTCTTAAACTCTAATTAACTGACCTTTTAACTTGAAATCAAACTCACTTGAAAATCAGCGAAAAAGTATAAAACGTTGAGTGGGTTCAAAGACAGGTCAAGAGGAGAGGAAAAAATCCCATCTTCCAGACAAGCGTAACATAATTATATCCCATCGCTTGACCCACTGGTCCCTAATTCCTGATGTTTTACAGATGATCAGAAAAACTCAGATCAAACTGAAGAGAGAGGCACGCTAAACCCCAGCCCCTCGGGTGAGAGCAGCTCAGCCTCATTTCAGGGCCAATGAATTATCATAATGAGCCGGCCGTGGATGTTGATGTGTATGTACGACAAACATGCTGTTACGAGCTTGCCTGAGGCACTGCGTGTCTTCGTGTGAGCCCACTTTACTGTTGACTGAATGATTCGGAGCAATGTGCACTCCTCGAAAGTCATTTCCTCGCTCGACATGGGGGAGGAGGAAGAGGTGGCTCTAAGAGGACCAGAGAAGATCTGACAACAAATTGCACATGAATATGAATAAAGATGGAAAAAAGCAATTTCAGAAGTTGGGCGGACAGTACATTGGAAAAGCTATTTGAAGGTGAGTGAAAATCTGGTTGTCATTGGAGGAATGAGTCAAAAAGTGGACTACTTGGCATCCTGGTGGCTTACAGCTCTGTAAAACTCCTTTTGGGATTTTTATCTGGTTATGAAACATTAAAATGAATATTAATGCCTCTTTATGAGCCACAAAGCCAAACAAGACTGTCAGCATTAAGTTTGACAGTTTCTACATGATTATTTGGAATTTCTGAAATACTCTATCCATGAGGTAGGTTTAAGACGAAAACCTTCCTTTGTCATTCTACAATATCCCATAAATACCAGTGAGCAGTGCGATGTCTTTCAAGTCATTTCACCAGTTTCCTCAACATTACCTTCTTGTTTGTGCTCAGGAAAGCAAGTAACCAAATCTCAGTGTATCATGATAGAGCTGGAGCTGATAAACATTGGGCTACAGTAAGTCATTCTGCAGTTGTTGCAAAAGAGAAAAGAGAAAAAGCATCAGGGGACATTGAATATATGACTCCTGAATCAGAGAAGGCAGAGGACGGGGAAATGTTGTAAATTAAGGGAATATGCCACTACCAGGCAGGAAAAAATTGCAATACCCCTTAAATTTATGTTTAAAAGAAAGCAGATAAGTTTCCTTCAACAGTTCTTACAACTGTAAGGGTCAATATCAGCAAGGACAGAAATGGACAGAAATTGACCACAGGGGGCGCCAAAATTAACACTGACTGCAAGTTCCATGCAGGAGCTTTAAAGCACCAAGTGTGTAGGTTGGTTTAAAGACAGAATTAGATCCTGCCTCACTTTCTTGCATGTCTTTATCTCCTCAGACACGTCTTTCTAAAAGGCACAGAGGTTTAAAAAATGTAAAAGAATCTCCTCAAAACAGCAGCGGTTGGTTTCAAGCAACAAATAACTTATTAAAGATACAATCAGACTTGAGTTGGAGTGACATAATTTGATACACAAGAGGGATGTTTGTCAGCTAGGTCAGAGAAACGAGCTGGATTTTTCCTGCAGCACAACTTGACAAAGTCAGACATCTTGGTGGCGTAGACATTTAGCATTTGACACTTAAATACTGGGACCACTTATTGTCATCTACCTGCACACTAGACCACCATCTCCACCTGTTAGACATAAAAAGCCAAAATTCTACCTTGATTCACATCCTGTCCCAGCTGTCCTTGCTGTTTTTACAAAGTGATGAAAATGTCCTGGTTTTCATAGTTTTTTATTGAGCCACTTAAACTTAGATAGGCAAACAAGGAGGATGAAAAAGAAAACTTAAGATTTGATGTTTTTGTGTTTTTGAGAGCAATTTTTGTTAAAGTTGGATTGCTACTAAAGCTGAGGGAATTTTTTAGTTTTGGTTTCAAAAGAGACATTATTTAGATCATTATTTCATTAGTTGTTTTTTAAAACTTGTCATAATACAACATGTTGAATAACCTCTGAGAAGCCTGTCTGAATTTGTGTCTTTGGTTATAGGTAGGATTTGGTAATACAACAATTTTCTATCCATACAGAGGAGGAAGACTTTAAATGTTTTGAAATTATAATTTGAGTATCTTTTGGGGGGGCTGACTGTCTCCACACACCAAGTGCGAGTAAAATCATTCGCGCAAATGAATTACATGTTAAGTCAATGCAAAGTCGCGATCAGACGCTCCTACTACTCTGGTAGTGCGAATGACGTGAACTGAGCGGAAGCTGAAAATGTCTCATCTTGGGCGGATATTCGCGTCACGATATTTAATCAGCGCGAAGGTTGCTGGATGATGTATAAAAACGGATGGTTGTTCACTGGTATCTAAAATAGAGGACAAACTGATCGTGTCGGTGTGTGGGTGCCCCGAATTATGTGATACCTTTTCTTTCAATTACCAAAACCGGAATAAAAAGGAGCTCGCCTGGAGGCAAGTAAGTAATGAGGTCGGATTACCTGGTAAATTATAAAAAAACCTTTGTCTATCACTTGATCCCACCGGTTGAATTGGCAAGGATTACTGTTGAAATTACTGTTAACGTGTGAATGAAGTGAGTAAATACTATTCATTCACGTGACCAGATTCAGCGAATTTAGCATGTAGATGATTTTACTCGTGCTTGGTGTGAGCGCCTCATAAGCGTCCTGGTTTTCCGCAATCCAAATATGGTCACCTTAGCCTTGATGTGTACCGGCTCATGGCACTGGTGGAGCCAAAACGTGATGGGAGGTGATCTGACTGGTGGAGCCAGGGAACTGATGTCATACCCCTTTCCCTCAAGTGGATACATCAAACAGAACCAACTCATGTTTTCTGATACCATTCCCTTTCAACTTTGCTGATCTGGCAAAACAAACCTCAAGGGCTTTTTAACATCAAATAACTTCAAAAAACTAAACTTTTCCAAAGAATAAGATCTAACTCATCATGACTTAAAAAGACCAAAAATATTTTTGAGAAAAAACTTTTCATGAATATTTAATTTTGCAGTTTGACTCATGTTCCATCTGTTACAATGGAGGAGGGTTTTAGGACTACAGTCAGCCAGCTGGGAGCTCTAAAAGTTTTGCCTTTGCTCGAGGTAGCCCTTGTTGTGTCCATGTTTTATTCAGTCAATGATCGGGACATGCCAGACCTTTATTCTGGCTCAGTATGGATAGGTACTGCATCACAGCTTATGTGGAGCTTGGGGGATAAGAGAAACCGATTGCTGGCTACCAATCAAGTTCTTACCCAGTTTTCAGTCTTGCTTGTGCAGTTTCCTCCTTTAATGCTTTCTTCTTTTATTCCTGCCAACACAAATTGTGTCCCTGAGGGATACAATGAAAAAGTAGACAGTGGGCATGACTGACAGAGCGACAAAGAGACCAAAGCAGACCGGCAATGTGCAGCTTCTGAAATCTACTTTTCTTGCTCACAGGCTGTCCGTTCCGAGTGCCTGAAACACAAGTTCTGGTCTTAATACAGCCGCTGGTGTTTGGACGGAGCCTGAGTAGAGTCCTGGAGCCCAGGAATGAAATCAAATTGAATTTGGAGGAACTGTGATCTTGTTTCCACAAAGCCTCCAAAACACTCGTCTGCTGCTTGATTCAAACACACACATTCTCTCCAACACACGCAGTGACACACACAGACACAAACTCTTGTTATGGGATTTTCCTCTCCAACATTTCTCTCACTCACACACACACACTCAAACACACACACATACTTGCCTCTCCTCTGTGCCGCATGCAGTCAGAGCCGGCAGCTTCATCCCTCCCAGCTAGTAAAGCGGCAGGGGGGGCTAACAAATGACACATGTGCACATGTGAGAGAGGGTCTCTTCTGTCCTCGCACACTGTCACGTGGCATCAGAGCTTCCAATCAGAAAACTAGCCGGAGTCATTGTGACTCTATTAAAGTCAGGAGAGCAGGCTACAGGAAGTGTTGTTGTAGGTTTGAGGCACGTAGACAGAGAGCCAAAAGGATGTGAACACATAGGAGAACCCTGAGCTGACCTACAGAGTGGCAAGGACTCTACCAGCGCTGAACAAATCCGCAGTTTGCTGTTTCACAGGAAGATGTCTGTCCTTTAAATGACATTTTAAGTTTCATTGATTTTTTTTTTTTTTGTCCCTGCAAATATACCCAAAACCTGCGAGCAAGTTGCAAAAAGCTTCAGGAGTCCCAGCTGAGGGGCAAGAGACAAAAAAATAAAACAATCAGTCTAATTTGTCCAATTTGTCCATCAAATTGAACATCACTGCAGTTCAGAAGATGTTTGATGGCTGTGATGAGGAGGCAGGAATGAAAATTACTCACAAAAGATGAGAAAACACAGAAAAAATCAGCAGAAAATTATCCCACACAGTTTTGACAGTTGATTTTTGAACAAAAAACTCAAACAATTTTCTCCTGATGATGATGGATTTTTTTCTATTTTGTACTTGAGGTTTTAATAACATCATTTTTTCTAGCTTGTGTTGTCCATGTGAAATATTGTAAAAAATTATCAGTTTATCAAAAAAAAAAAAAGATTGATGTTGAAGTAAGTGCTGCACCTCCTTATACACAAGGCACAACAGCACATAGAACCACATTATTACTTAGTAGGTTTACATGCACAGTTGAGTTGAGTTATGGTTAAAGCTCGATTAGGCAAAGTTTTTATGCCCAAGAATCAAATTGTTAACAGAAGTGTGTTTACCTAAACTACAGTAGATGGTGACGTGCCCCATTTCAGCATGTTACCATCATGTCGTCTCAAAACAATCAACAAAACACATTAGCGAGAGGCCAACGGAGTGAATGATGGAAACTTCATCAATTTCATTTCATCAATTTTGTTGCTTTTCGCCAAATTTACAGCTCCGTACCATAAGGAAAGTTTTGTCTTTTTAACAGCCTTTCTTCACCTGTTGATAAAACGGATTCAAAGTTATTCCTCCTCTGGATCGTAGCCTGATGTGTGACAGCTGGAGCATGTGCAGAATGCTTGGGACAGTTTTGGACTGTAGACTTCAAGGAATCTGCATTATCACCATCTGCATTATCCATGTATGTTGATCCTCCTCGAGAAGTTTGATTTAGTGCAATCTGAGTCTGATCAATGTGTTGACTGTTTTTAAAAGTCCAGTTTCAGACAGACTGAGGCAATGAATTGATTTTTTTTAACATGTGAACTGACTATGATCATAGTGTTTCAGTTTAAACCATTGTTCAATCCATGTTTGTGTCTGTACCTGATGAAATGTAGTAACACTGATTCTGACTGTTTTGATACATTATGTAATTGATGTCAAAGGTCCTCACACAGCTAATTGGAGATAAAATTAAGACTGAAAACAAATCAGGATTCAAGTTACACTCTGAGGGGGTTTCATGAAACATACATTTCAGGGGGCAAAGCATATACTGCTTAGGGCCCTACTGTGGCCCGTGGCGGCCCTGACTGAGGCTGTGATTAATATTTATGGGTGGAGGTACAGCAAAGCAACCTTGGGAAAAAGAAAAAAAAGTCTGTGAATTTAAATACCATATGGATTGACAGTTAGTCCAAATCAAACTGAAGCCTTTTATTCAGGGATCTGCATCAGCAGCCTGAAGCAGAGTTGTGTAAAGGTTGTAATTTATTATGTCTTAAAACATAAAAAGCTCGCTCATTAGAGAGAAATTCAGTCATTCGCAGTTAGGACTTAATACTCTAACATGTCCCTGCAGGAAATGTAAATGAGAAAAATCACAGATTTTTCCTCCAGTAAAGGTAAATTAACAGTTTTTCCACTAGCAGCATCTAATTATGACTAAACCTGACCAATCATGTGACAGACTCTTGAGAGCTGAGTGGATGCATCAGAGAAGTCATATTAATATCTAATTGTCCGATAAAGATTGAGTGATTCTGAAAAGGTCTCTATTTTCTCTTTCATCAACAAGAAATGAAAGTGAGAGTAACTGATGATGACCTTTGCAAACGATGCTATTTGAAGCTTTCTGCCACCTCCATAATCCTCAGAGGAGCAAAGTCAGAGTGCATTGTGAATAACAGGGGCTGGGAGAAACACACACACACACACACACACACACACACACACACACACACACACACACACACACACACACACACACACACACACACACACACACACACACACACATCTTCTTCCACTCCCTCAGTTATGTAACCTTAATGCAACAGACAGCTTGACTGAGACATCCCGGGTCCGTCCAGAGATGGTCGTTTACTTGGACATGCAGGAGAATCCATTCATTCATTATCATGTTGAGCTGATGACCTGACTGTCCAGAGAAATGAATCATGTGGAAAAGATCTGCAGGCCCAGGAGAGGAACCTTGTCTGTGTATAGCATGTGTAATGTTCATGTTTCTGCACAGGAGATGTTGCTGTCTGCTGTTTCAAATCCACAGACATACATGACCATGGTTTACTTTTTTGCATTCATACCACAGACGGCTGACAACCTGCAAGGTAAGTGTGCAACAGGGACTAGCTTTGTGGAGCATTGCTGGCATGTGTGTCTATACATATGAAAAGATCAGTAGAACAGTAGGGAAGCTCGTAATGCATCTGTCCGTAAAATTAAGTAGAACCCTGCCAACAAAATGAAAAATCATAAGAGAAAAAAAATCTGTTTTTCTCTTTATCATTAAGAGATTAAAACTCACCTTTTTAACACCAGATTCTCAAAACCACATTTGACACCTCTTCCTCAAAGGCCACTTTGATTTTATTAACAATTCTTGATGGAGCGGATCAGAGGTATGTCCAGGCTATCTACTTTAACTACTATCATTAGTCTCACATACTTGTAATTTTCCTGTGTGTAATTTTCATCTTTAAAAAGTAATTTAACAGAGTAGCAACACATAAATCTTGTTCCTTCAAGGGGTCAAGAAGGAGAAGTATGTCCAAAGTCAAATTTCTAAAAGCTAACCAAAGAAGATGTTTCTTATTTGATTTTAAAAAGAAATACTTGTATGCCAGTGTAACACAGATCAAGAGGTCGCTGTTAACAGAAGTCCAGCCTCTGACAAGGGAAATAGCCAATCATAGCCATCCTTTTGGGTCCACCCTGATTACAGATATCTCCAGAAATTCTCTAAAATTGTGCAAACAAGAAGTATGCAACTGTATTATCAGACCTCTGAGAACCAACCAATGTTTTTTTCACAGACTATACCTGATCAGAAGAGTACTGTTTGATTCAAATCTCACTTGATATACATTCATCGATGCACGATATTTTTATGCTATAATCTGAAAATGCTGCCAGATGAGCAGAATCTTGATCGTATCGGACGCCTGAAGAAACCTGAAAAAGCTGGAACACAATTGTTGATGTTAATTCACAGGAGAATGACCATCATGGCTCAACAGTTCACTGGAGCTGCATGATTTGCAAATGGTTAGAGCCGTCAAAGACAACACAAATTACAGCTATTATTTGATAATGTTTAGTTTCCTGTGAGGAACACAACTCTTTTATTCAATAAATTTATTTGAAATATTTTGCTGTTATTAGATAGAACAGCTGAAAAGAGACAGGAGATGTGGGGGTTAGAGAGCAGGAGAAGACGTGGCAAAGGGGTCGTGACCTGGAGTCCAAACAGGGACAGATGCAACAGTGAATACAGTCTCCATAAAAGGGGTGCAGTTGACCACCAAGCCACTAGTGCCTTGGACTCTGTTGATTTTGGCGGCAAAAAAACACCCATCCTTGTGTCTTTTGTCATTCCAATGAATAAATAATTGTGAACATTTGTTTTGGAAAAAGTAGCTCTCCCCCGCTGATTGGCTGCAGTACAGGTCATACGCCGCTTCCCCCATGTTAACAGATGGAACATGGGTCAAACTAGAAAATTAAAGTTAGTGGATTATACAGTGTTTTCTTTGGTCTACTGACCACTCAAAGTGCTTTTACATTACATGTCATATTCATCCTTTCACTCCAAATTCATACACTGATGGCAGAGGCTGCTACATTAGTTTGGACTATTTTCATGTTTTGCAGTCAACAGGGGCAGGATGGGGTCAAGGGTCATGCCGAAGGAGCTTGACACCTGTCAGGTCTCGCATGTGGACAGCAAGACCCCAAACCCTCCCATTGACTCTACCACTGAGCCACAGCCACCCCATCAACAATCAATTTTTTGTAATCATGCTTTCTGTCATATCATGACATTTTGTGCACAAGTGCTCATTTGTGGAAATGTTAAATCTTATTTGTTATTTGACTTTGAAGAGATGACTGATTGACAGTTCTGTTGACAAATGCAGGCTCCTGCAGCGATCTTTATCAGATTTTTAGAGCAGAGGAGGAACAGAGAGGGAAAAACACCAACACAACAGTCATTGAACTCTCCATAGCAGTGAGTGCCTGCATCAAATCTCTTCTCTGTGGACTCTAACCTGAGGGATCTTTTGTGTTACATCAGCGCAGGTGGGACGTCAGTCCAGCGGTTCTGCCCA